GCTAAAAAAGTTTTTATTCTAAATATTCTCATTGTCAGTAAGGCGGATAATTTTTAGTGAAACGTCGATAACTTTGTTGTCGTTTTGTAACACTAAACTAATTGATATAAGTGTGCAGTGGTTTTCCTCTGGGCATCTTTCTTAAAATTGCAAAGAACTGAAAGAGTTAAGCCGCTGTGATCTTCAGCTGTTGTGTCAGTTGGTGCGACAATAAACTTTGCAAGGTTTTGGTCTAAGACTGTTTTATTCATTTGAACAGCGGCGTTTGTGCTCCTTTCTGTAGTGACACCAATCTGTGGAAACAGATATTATGAAGAAAAGTTGAAGTTTGTTAAAAATCAAAGCCAGACACGTTCTGCTTGCTACTTTTGTCAAATTCGAAGAGAAGTAAGTTATTCTCACCGTGAAATAGTATCGCCACTAATTCTTCTTTTTGTTGCGCTCGACTACAGCTGCTCGGTATTTGTTCATCCTTTAAAAAAACGTACTTCGTTTGTCTTTTTTCCCTTTGCTTCTCGAGCAGGGAGGATATGTCTTCTCAAGACATATTTAGACAAGATTAGTTTTATTGATGCCCACTCGTATTGCAGCTGTTGATATGATGGTGTTATTCAATTCAACAGTCAACCCATTCATGTATGCCCTCCTTAACCACCGGTTCAGACAGAACATCCAGAGAGTGATTTGGCGCAGTGATACATTAGAACCCACGACTGGAGGAAAGGAAAAGATTAGGGAAGGAGAAGGGGAAAAAGAGAAATTCAACAACACGTTAACTTAAAAGGGAGCTTAGTCTAGCAGTGGAACGAAGGAGACAAAAAACAATATCTGCTCGATGGAAACTTTGTCGTCGGCAAGATGGCGGAAACGGCGAGTTTTGTTGCGCGAATGAAATCAATTATTTTATCCCAAAGACACTCCTACACTGGATTAAAACTAAGTATACTTTGTGATAATTTGCCTTGCTTAAATTTGTTTGTTCTTTGGCGTGTTCAGTCAAAGGACCTCTGGATATATTACTGGAACTGCTCATTATCGTTAATATGGATGACAATTACTCACGGTTCAGACAAGTAGTTAACAGAATTGACTCATTTTTCTTTCTTTTTTTCGTTTTTTTGATACAGGATGATAACAGAGTACAGAAACGAGTAACTTTGATGGTCATTGTCACTGTCATTTTTGGGATCTTCTATGAACTCATATCAGTTATCTATGTTTTAAGGAAATTTACATCCTACAACATTGGCCCTGTCTTAGTCTTCGTTTCTTTCATGATGGTGTTGTGCAACTCTGCTGTCAATCCGTTTGTGTATGCATTGTTAAACAGACAGTTCAGAGAGAAAATTTAAGACATGATGTGCTTCTCCAAATGCTTGAGAAACCGTTGACAAAACCATAGAAATTGCTTCAGTGGCATAATGGCGACATGAGTTGAAGGCTAAAAATAAAAAACACTATAATTACTTCAAAACGGCGATTTACTCAAAGAACGAAAATGCATTACAAGTAACGAAATTGTGAACTACTGCTCACTCAACTTTAAGTGCTTAAAGATGGAGTCGATGCACATACATGAGCAATATGAATGAAACGGTGTAGTGTAACCATCAAACATCGCCGACTCTGTTGGAACTGTAAGACTGACAAAGTCGAAATCCACACTAGGAGTTGGAAAAAAAAACACAACAACAATAACAAGAATTCAGATTTACAGCCAGATGGAATAATTTTCATCATATAATTGTTACCAAACAGCTCCCTCCGCCTAGCCACCTTCGCGTGTAGTATGCATAAAGAAAATAAATCTTTGAAGTTCCGCTCTTGGAATGGTTTAACCGTTTTGTTATGATAATCCTTTAAATAATATATCGGAATAGCGAATTAGTTTCGTTCCGACGCTATCTCTTCCTCGCTCTCAGCATTTACGACGACAGTAGGATTTCTAAAATTTTCTTCTTTCTTGTTTATTTTCTTCAAATGTCTTTTGTTTTTCTCTAATTTACCTTGACATCGATAACTATAGTAGTCTCACTTCGATCATTTCGTTAAGTCAATTAGTTGTTCCCTGGAAAAGGGAAATGCGAAATATTGAGCTTGTCATTACGTTGTCCAGATACTTCAGTTTCTGGTGTCATATTGCATAGACCTGCTGAAGCCTTACCAGAGGAGTAAACGCGATTGCTGCGCACGTTAGTCAGTGGCGCAGAAAGCAAGGTTCGGTAAGTGGTATATTTATAAATATCTTAATTCTTATCAGTGCCGGTTGGGAATCAACGTATAGAACTCATTCAATTGTTTTTCTTTTCGAGAAGCAGTAATACAATTGTTTATTGCCGGCAGTAGGCTTCTATAGTGGTGTTAAATTAAATCGTCGATAACCTCGCTAACCAGGTTCGTCTTATTGTTAATAAAGAGAATGAAGTTTTTGAGTCAGTCTGTGGATTTACAGACTCTCTCAAGAGTTAAATTCATCGAGAAAGATTGGTTTATATCATTTGTTAATTTAATTTTCCAATATTCTTTTGTACTCTTTGCTGTTGGTTCTGACTGCAAAGGATGGATTTAGTTGAAGCATGAAAATATATTCTGCAGCTGTTCGTGATAAGCGCGTAATTATATTGATAGTTCGGTCTGTCAAACTTCCTGTTTACAAGTAAAAGTGGAAAATTTAATGTTCGATTTGTAAGCAACGGTACTAGAGCTGTGCCGGCTTAAAAGCTTCATTAATGAAATGCGATATGAAAATTTTACGAATTTGGATCACACATGTCATAATCCCGGACGGCATCAACAAAATTGCAGAGTTTTCTGACGGGCGAGAGCTAAATTTCACGCGGAAATTCCACCGACTGTGATCACGTTTTCGAGGTCACGAAGCAGGTGTCTGTGTAAGTTATATTTTTAGTTTAAACTGTTAATAAATCTCCGCTTCAACTTTTTTTCCTGTAAGAGGAGGCACTTCACTTTAGCTGAAAAGTTTATGTACGCTGAAACAGAAAATAACTGCAGCCTATTGATATTCTGTGACTACCTTCCCGCTGAGTGACTTTCATATTTACGATTTACCGAAAAATTTTATTTCTATTACGAACTAATCCAAACCCAAAGATTCATAGAACTGTCACGCCCCAACGGAGACAACCTCTTATATAAACCAAAGCCGCAGAAAGGTAAGATTGTAATGCAAGATTTAGGTTGCCTTTCGAGCTCAGTCAGTCTCCCCAAGATATTATTGGAATTTAACCACCCGGGACCATCCGTGGCCAATACACACTGTGTCTGAAATCATGTTATTTATATTCAGGCTGAGAAGACAGTGGACAGGAAACGCTTTTAACTGAAATACACATAACATCTTATTCCGCACAGAATTTTCTGTTTCTTTTTCGGAAAGCAATGAACCGCGAATTCATGCAAAACTAGGCTAGAATTCAAATCCTATAGGATGGCTCTGATTAATCCGTATACAACTCGTGACAATTTTAGACAAAGTTTTGTTTGGTTTGCAGCCGTAGATAAAGTAACCAATTAACTCAAGGAATCTGTTTGTTTGAAGATACTTAAACAATTTCATAGTGTATACCATAAGGAAGGGCGACTCTTTGTTTTCAGTGATAGTAGTTACGCTTTCTGATTCACTCCAAAGAAACTCACCGAAGCATTAATTCGTTCTAAAGGATAACTCTTTCGACATAATAATTGATCTTTGTGTAACAGCTCACCGGCCCCTTCGAGACTTGTCCCTTACAAGACAATTAATGTTTTTTGTTTTTTTTCTTCTGAAGGATGATGTAATTTAGTCGTTTTCGACATATCCAAACAGAATCCATCGAAGTTGTTTAATTCTTTGAACAGGAACACCAAACAAGCTCTGTCCCAATGCTCCTGAAGTCAAAACACAACTGAACTCAAATTAAAAATGCTCTGGCAAGACAAACCAGGAATTGATAACGTAATTAATTTGTTTATGGTCTTATAATGAAATGTCTTTGTGGTTGCAAGTGGAGCAGAGTTTGTTCCTAGTCTATTTCAATTTGCTTTCGAAAGTCAAATCAAAAATTATAGCTAAACAAAGAACGGAATATGTTAATAATAATAATTTTAAATTACTGATGTACAAGGGATGATAATGGGACATTCTTTCGTCTTGTGATGTGTCAGTGGGGAGAGTTAACAGCTGGTCACACGCGGTGATCAGAGATGGGGGGGGGGGCATGGTCGTCAAGGTTTGAGAGAACTCTTAACGCGACTTGGGTTGATGTTGCTATTGTTGAACAAAAGTTGGCGGATATACGTAAATGCTATAGGAAGAACAATCCTTTGGTACAACACTTCTGTTGTCTTAATTATTTTCTGCGGTCTTTTTTCTACGTCATTATGCTCATGATGATTACAAAAGTAATATCATTTCAGTAATTAACTGAAACGTAAAGATATATAAAGTACTGTTGACGTAGTGCTCAAGATACGATATTCTCCATTTTTGAGGATCTGTTTTTTGGTAGTGTTCGATATTATTATTCAGTGAAATGGAAAATGGTCCAGAAACTGAAAGATTGCGATCAATGGTTTGTGTATAACAATGTAAAACTGTTTATGACTAACTCGGCGATCTTTTAAACTTCCGCTGTTTATTATTTAAACCAGCTTGATTTCTATATGAATCAATATTGAGGTGATCACAAAACAAACAGTGCTAAGAAGACCGGCAAACCTAAAGAAGTAAGTTTTCTTTAACATTTTTCATTAAAATCATTGTTTAGTGTAAAAAGTTATTTATCAAATTTAACTGTATGAATTGCTGAAAAACTGAAAAAGTATATATGATATACCAAATCACGTTTTTCTTTACATCCAAATCCCTGTGGAGTTGTAAATAAACTTGAAGCTTACAGGATTAAAGTAGGCAAGCCACTTTTGAAAATTGTTGCTTTGACCTTGTTTAAATATCTTTTTTTTCTTTGCCTTTTCAGTTCTGGTGATCAGTGGTAACCATCATGCCTGATGCGTCTAGTGTTGTAATAACAGCTGTGCTATTAATACTTGTTGTTGTGGACGTCGTGGGCAATACACTTGTTTGTTTAATCATAAAACGATATCTTCGCACAAAGTATGAGAGAACATTTTTTACTGATTTGTTTCTTCCTTGTCCGAGTGTTTCTGAGTTTGACTTTTGATCATTTATAATTTGGATTTTTCATCTCTAAATACAGAAATCCCATAAATTATTTACTTCTGAATCTGGCCATATCTGATATCCTATTCGCATTGTTCATCGCACCAAAGATTATCGTCAGCTTCAACATGAGTCACCCGGACGGATTGGCAGGTGTGGTACTTTGCAAGCTTTTGACGGGTGGAAATATAGCCTGGGTTGCAGGAGTTTCGTCAGTTGTCACTTTGGTTGCAATTGCCTTTGAAAGATATTACTCAGTATTATATCCCATTGCCAGAGAAAAGAATCTTTCACGGCGCAAACTGAAGGCAAGTCTATGCATCAACCCTAAAAATCCAACGGACTATTAAAAATGTCCAAAATCTCAGTTCCAGTCCTATTCAAAATGCACGTCCGTCAATTTTGCCACCGGTCCATCTAACTGTCAATCACCTGGTAAAGAGCTTAGAATGACTCACGACTCACGATAGTCATTGTGCAAAAAAACAAAATCTGCACAATGTCGTAACCCCTCTTTTCACTTTCTTTTCCAGATAATAGTTCTTGGCGCTTGGGTGTTCGCAGCATTTTTGAACATACCATTATTCTTGGCTAGGACTTTCGACAAGGAGAAAAGCAGCAAAAACTGTGTTCAGAGTTGGCCTGAGAAGTGGATGTCCACGACTTATTGTTTGGCGTGTTTGGTTTTGGTTGTCGTTTCTGTGGGAATAATGGTTGTCCTCTATTCTACTGTCGTGTACACATTGTGGTTCAAACGTAATGAAAACAAAAGAATCAACTATCAGCAAAAAGTTAGTGTTTAAATAGGGGAAAATTAAATACAGGAAGACTCTGCTGTCATTGAGGCTAAAATTAGAAAAAATTCTTTCTAAATGACAATTGAACATTTGGTTGAAAAATTCTCTTTTAAGTTAATATCTTTAAGAAAGGTGAAATTAGAAGATCCTCGCAGCTAAGAACACTACTGAAACTAGTAGTTGTAAGTAGGACCTGAAAAAAAAATTTCAGGCCCGTACGGGATTTGAACCCATGACCTCTGCGATACCGGTGCAGCGCTCTACCAATTGAGCTAACAAGCCAACTGGGAGCTGGTCAATGAATTGGGTACAAATAAACATCCGAGTGAATGAAGATTTTAGATATATGAAAATTCACATATTTGCACTGCGGTGGAAAGATGAAATTAGAAGATCCTCGCAGCTAAGAACACTACTGAAACTAGTAGTTGTAAGTAGGACCTGAAAAAAATTTCAGGCCCGTACGGGATTTGAACCCATGACCTCTGCGATACCGGTGCAGCGCTCTACCAATTGAGCTAACAAGCCAACTGGGAGCTGGTCAATGAATTGGGTACAAATAAACATCCGAGTGAATGAAGATTTTAGATATATGAAAATTCACATATTTGCACTGCGGTGGAAAGATGAAATTAGAAGATCCTCGCAGCTAAGAACACTACTGAAACTAGTAGTTGTAAGTAGGACCTGAAAAAAAAAAAAAAATCTTCATTCACTCGGATGTTTATTTGTACCCAATTCATTGACCAGCTCCCAGTTGGCTTGTTAGCTCAATTGGTAGAGCGCTGCACCGGTATCGCAGAGGTCATGGGTTCAAATCCCGTACGGGCCTGAAATTTTTTTCAGGTCCTACTTACAACTACTAGTTTCAGTAGTGTTCTTAGCTGCGAGGATCTTCTAATTTCATCTTTCCACCGCAGTGCAAATATGTGAATTTTCATATATCTAAAATCTTCATTCACTCGGATGTTTATTTGTACCCAATTCATTGACCAGCTCCCAGTTGGCTTGTTAGCTCAATTGGTAGAGCGCTGCACCGGTATCGCAGAGGTCATGGGTTCAAATCCCGTACGGGCCTGAAATTTTTTTTCAGGTCCTACTTACAACTACTAGTTTCAGTAGTGTTCTTAGCTGCGAGGATCTTCTAATTTCATCTTTCCACCGCAGTGCAAATATGTGAATTTTCATATATCTAAAATCTTTAAGAAAGGTTTTTGATAATTCAAGGGAGTAAATGTACTTCTAATGAAGACGAGTCGCTTTTCTTATGACAGATTTAACGGCATACTTCACTTCATCATCCGCCACCTTAACTGATTGGGATCCTTTTCCTTCTCTCGATTCACAGGGCGTCATAAAGGTTCGGAAACGTGTTACCTTGATGGCTATAGCAGTCAGTTTCATCTTTGCGGTTTCCTGGGGAGCAGAATCAGTTGAATACGCGTTGAGGACTCTTACAACTCTCGAAATCAGCTTTGTTCATATTGTAGCTGTTGATATGATGGTATTGTTCAATTCAGCAGTCAACCCGTTCGTGTATGCCCTCCTGAACCATCAGTTCAGAAACAACATCAAGAGAGTGATTTGGTGTAGTGGTACACCAGAACCCAGGACTGGGGAAAAGGAAATCACAAGCCGAAGTTCTGATCATGAACGCACTACTGAAATATGATTCTTGAAACATTGCTTATTTTCTCGTACATGAGCCCCACCATCAATATGTTACATATTTTTTAGATAAAATAAAATCACTTCACATTAAAATAATTTAAATATTAGAGAAGAAGACAGGTGGAAAAAGAAATTTAACAACACCACAAAGGAAAGTAATACTGTAGCGGATCTAGGGGAGGCCCCCCTCCTTATTTTGGGTGAAAAAAAGAAGAAAAAGAACCGCAGAAGGAAGAAGAGCCGACAGGGCAAGCCACAAAAAACCGGCCCTCCCCCTCAGCACAAGGTCTGGATCACTGACCGCCACTACAATACATAATACAAGAACCAGGTTAAATGAAAGTAGATCTAAAAGATTTAAGAATAAAAAATTTCGAATAATTTTCAATTTTCATCGTTGTATCATTCGTAATCGTACTTAAGGAGTTAGACAATAATTCCCTGCAAGCATCCTTTCGGCATAAATTACCAGAATAACGGACGGGTCACACAACTTTCTCAACCTTTCTACGTGCCGGTATGGTTTTAAATGGCTCAGTGCATTTTAAAAATCACTGAAAGGCGAATAGATTTCTAGTATTACATAATGTATCTCCAAACATTCCCATCTTTGCTCCAACACAACTGTAGTAATCTCGATTTGACACGAAAGCAAAGTGAATGACTGAAAAACATGAGTAGAGATATGAAACCATGAAAAGGAATTTTTAGCAAAATTAGGGGACACATCGTCAATTGGATGTACATGCATGGTTGGGTCAAGAATATAATATAAGAATTCATTAAATTATTAGCGCAGTTATTATTTATAGCAATCTCATCCCAGCGAGAGCACACATGCAAGTGTAGTGAAAGATCGCAGTAGTAGTGAAACAGTGTGACCAAAACAAACAGTGGCACACGTGTTGCAACCGAGTTTGTTTCTCGGCTGGAATGTCTGATTTTTGATTTTGTAAAGCAACAAAGTTTATAAGAATTGAAAGCTTATTTACTTCCAGATAATTCAAATGCGAGTTCTTTACCCTCTTTACAAACGCGGAAATTTGATTTGACGTAGTCTATGGTCCTAGTAAGGCTCATTGTCGCTATTCTTAGCTATGAATTGTAACTGACTCAGAGAAATCACGCCCACTTCCGACTTAACTTGAATCGAACTTCGATCATGGCAGAAGAGAATATTACGACGAAAGTACAACAGAGCTATGGTTCAAACTTCTTTAATTTAAAGCCATTTTATTTAGCGTCAATGAAGCTGAGAAGTTATGTGCCTGGTATTGCTTTGTAACACTGACCTTTTTTGATATCCAAGAGTACATTCGTTTTGGCTACTTGTGATGAATTGCGGAAACCAAGCAAAGCTAGATCTCAGCTGTGCAATCTTGAGCTTTTTTGTTGCTTTGTCTTAAACTTGGATAAATGTTAATATACATTCAGCTTGTGCTGACTCAAATTTTACAAGGTGAAAAGATACAATCACTGGTTTATGTTGCCAGCTCGGCGGAAGATTCTGATTTTATTTTCGGAGCTGCTTTGTTTTTTTTACCTTTTTTTGTGTGTTATCGACTTTTACTGATTGCAAAAACCAAGAAGGGGTTGAATGCTCCTCTCTTCACCTTTTTTTCTTCTACTTTGATGTTAAACTAAGCTGAGTTCTATCTAACTCGGGCTTGCCAAAAATTTTGCAAATTTTATTCTAAATATTCTCATCGTCAGTAACGCGGATAATTTTCAGTGCAACGTCGATAACTTTGTTGTCGTTTTGTAACTCTAAACAAAGTGATACAAGTGTACAGTGGTTTTCTTCAGGTCATCTCTCTTAAAATTGCAAAGAACTAAAAGAGTTAAGCCGCTGTGATCTTCGGCTATTGTGTTTTTGGTGCGACAATAAACTTTGCAAGGTTTTGGTCTAAGATTTTGTATTCATTTGAACAGCGGCGTTTGTGCTCCTTTCTGTAGCGACACCAATCTGTGGAAACAGATATTATGAAACTGAGAAAAGTTGAAGTTTGTTAAAAGTCAAAGCCAGACAAGTTCTGCTTGCTACATTTGTCAAATTCGAAGAGAAGTAAGTGTTTCTGACCGTGAAACAGTATCGCCACTAATTCTTCTTTTTGCTGCGCTCGACTACAGCTGCTCGTATTTATTCATCCTTTAAAAAAACGTACTTCATTTGTCTTTTTTCCCTTTGCTTCTCGAATAGGAAGGATATGTCTTCTCAAGACTTTCTCGATCACGCCCACCCATATATTGCAGCTGTCGATATGATGGTGTTGTTCAATTCAGCAGTCAACCCATTTGTGCATGCCCTCCTTAACCACCGGTTCAGACAGAACATTAAAAGAGTGATTGGTGCAGTGATACATTAGAACCCAGGACTGGAGGAAAGGTAAATATTAGGGACTGAGTAGGAAATATTAGGTTTCTTTCTTTTTTTTTTCGATACAGGGTGCGGAAACGAATAACTTTTATGGTCATGATTGTCACTGTCATTTTTGAGATCTGCTATGGACTCATGTCAGTTATCTCTGTTTTCAAGGAAATTTACATCCTAAAGCCCTGTCTTAATCTCCGTTTCTTTCATAATGGTGTCGTTCAACTCCGCTGTCAATCCGTTTGTGTATGCATTGTTAAACAGACAGATCAGAGAGAAAACTAAAGAAATGATGTGCTTCTTCAAACGCTCGAGAAACCGGGTCGACCAAACCATATAAACTGCTTCAGTGAGTTAATGGCGACATTAATTGTTATTTGAAGGCAAAAAAAACAAACCCTATAATTACTTCAAAAGGGCGATTTACTCAAATAAAGAAAATGCGTTACAAGTAACGAAATTGTGAACTACCGTTCACGCAACTTTAAGTGCTTAAAAATGGAGTCGATGCACATACATGAGCAGTGTGAATCAAACTGTGTAGAATAACTATCAAACATCGCCGACTCTGTTCAAACAACAAGACTGACAAAGCCGAAAATCCGCATTAGGAGTTGGGAAAAAACACAAAAACAATAATAAGAATTCAGATTTACAGCCAGATGGAATAATTTTTCATTATATAAAACTGTTGCCCAACAACTTCCTTCGGCTAGACATCTTTGTGAAATAAATCTTTGAAATTCCGTTCTTGGAAAGGTTTGAACTTTTTTGTGATAATCTTTCAAAATAATTTATCGCAACAGCTAATTAATTTCGTCCCGACGCTATCTCTTTCCCGCTCTCAGTATTTACGACGACATTAAGATTTCTACGTTTTTCCTCCTTTCTTATTTATTTTCTTTAATTGCCTTTTGTTTTTCTCTAATTTAAGTTGATATAGATCATTTCATTAAGTCAATAAGTAATTCCTTGAAGAAGGGAAGTGCCAAATATTAAGCTTGTCATAACGGTGTCTATATATCTAAATTTCCGGTGTCATATTGCATAGACCTGCTAAAGCCCTACCAAAGAAGTAAACGCGATTGCTGAGCAAGTTTGTCAGTGAACTTGAAAGCAAGGTTCGGTAAGTGGTATATTGATAAATATCTTAATACTTATCAGTGCCAATGGAGAATCAACGTTGAGAATTCATTCATTTGTTTTCTGTTTTAGAAGCAATAATATTATTGTTTATTGCATGCAGTAGGCTTCTATAATTACAAAACTTGTTGGTGAGCGCGCTAGCTAGGTTCGTCTTATTGTCAACAAGGAAAAGGAAGTTTTTGAGTCAGTCTGTGGATTTACAAAGCAGCATAATCGGTTATCAATTTCATGTCTTAAAAAATCGCGTAGAAACTTTCTCAAGAGTTAATTTTCATCGAGAGCGATTGCTTTTCTTAATTTTTTTTCTAACATTCTTTTGGATTGTTTGCTATTGGTTCTGACTGTGAAGGATGGATTTAGTTAAAGCATGACAATGTATTCTGCAACTGTTCGTGATAAGCGCGTAATTACATGGCTAGTTCGGTACGTCAAACTTCCTGTTTACAGCTAGAATTTGAAATTTCAATGTCCGATTTTTAGCAATGGTACAAGGGCCGATGACGTGCTGGCTTAAAAGCTTCATTAATGAGGTGCGATATGAAAATTTAACGAATTTGGATCGTATCTGTTACAATCCCGGACAGCATCAACAAAATTGCGGAGTTTTCTGACGGGCAAGAGCTAAATTTCATACGGAAATTCCATCGACTGTGATCACGTTTTCGAGGTCACAAAGTAGGCGTCTGCGTAAGTTCTATTTTAAGCTGAAACTGTTAATAAACCTCCGCTTAATTTTTTTTCCTGCAAGAGGCAGCACTTCCCTTTTTAGCTGAAAAGTTTATGTACGCTGAAACAGAAAATAACTGCAGCCTTTTGATCTTCCGTTACTACATTCCCTTTGAGTGACTTGCATAGGCACGTTATACTGTTAAATTCTATTTCTATTAATAGCCAATCCAAAGCCCAAGGATTCATAGAACTGTCACGCCGCACCGGAGACAACCTCTCATATAAACCAAAGCCGCAGAAAGGTAAGATTGTAACGTAGATTTAGGTCGTCTTTCGAGCTCAGTTATTCTCCCCAAGATATTATTGGAATTAAACCACTCAGGTCCATCCGTGGCCAATACACACTATGTCTGAAATCATGTTATTTATGTTCAGGCTGAGAAGACAATGGACAGGAAACGCTTTTAACTGAAATACCCTTATCATCTTTCTTACTCCGCACAGAACTTTCTGTTTCTTCTTCGAGAAAGCAATCGACTGCGAATTCTTTAAGTTACATAACTAGGCTAGAATTTGAATCCTGCAGGATGGCTCTGATTAATCCTTATACAGCTCGTGACAATTTTAGGAAAAAAGTTTTGTTTGGTTTGTAGCAGTAGAAAGAGCAAGGAATTAACTCAAGGAATCTGCTTATTTGAAGATATTTAAATAATTTCTTAGTGTATACCATAAGGAAGGGCGACTCTGTGTTTCCAGTGAGGGTAGTTACGCTTTCTACTTCACTCCAAAAAAAACTCAACGAAGCATTAATTCGTTATAATGGATAACTATTTTGATATAAAACTTGATCTACGTGCAACAACTCACCGGAACTTTCGAGACTTGTCCGTCACGAGACAAGATTTTTGTTTTTTTTCTTTTGAAAGATGAGGCGGTTTAGGTTTTTTTTTCAACAAATCCCAAAGTCTTTGAACAAAATCCATCGAAGTAGTTTAATTATTTGTACAGGAATACTAAACAAGCTCTGTCGCATTACTCCTGAAGTCAAACCACAATTGACCTCAAATTAAAAATGCGCTGGCAAGACAAAAGCAGGAATTGATAACGTATTTAATTTGTTTATGGTCTTACAAAGAATGATCCTTGTGGTGGCAAGCGGACCGAGGTTTGTTCTTGGCCTATTTCAATTGGCTTTCAAAAGTCAGATCAAAACGTATAGCAAAACAAAGAATAGAATATATTAATAATAATTTTTACATTACTAATGTACAAGAGAAGATAATTGGACATTCTTTCGTCTTGTGATGTGTCGTGTCATCAGTTGGGAGAGTTAACAGCTGGTCATACGCTGTGATCAGGAGGGGGGGGGACAAGGACGTCGTCAAAGTTTGAGAGAACTCTTAAAGCGACTTGGAATGATGTAGCTATTGTTGAACAAAAGTTGGCGGATATACGTAAATGCTAGAGGAAGAACAATTCATTGATACAACACTTACTTTGTTTTGATTATATTCTGTTTTTCTTTTTACGTCATGCTCACCATGATTACAAAAGTAATATTATTTCAGTAATTAACTGAAACGTTAAGATATATAAAGTACTGTTTCGACTTCCGCTGTTTGTTATTTAATCAGCTTTATTTCTATATAGGAATCAATATTATATTGAAGTGATCACAAAACGAACAGTGCTAAAAAAGACCGACTTTTCATTAAAATCATTATTTAGTCTAAAAAGTTATTTCTCAAATTTAACTGTATGAATTGCTGAAAAACTGAAAAAGTATATATGATATACAAAATCATGATTTCCTTTACATCTAAAGCTCTGTGGAGTTATAAATAAATACGAAGCTTACAGGATTAAAGTGAAGGAGCCACATTTGAAAATTGTTGCTTTGACTCCGTTTAAATACCTTTCTCTTTGTCTCCTCAGTTCTGGTGATCGGCGGTAACCAATCATGCCTGATTCGTCTGGTGTTGCAATAACGGCTGTGCTATTGATACTTATTGTTGTGGACGTTGTGGGCAATACACTTGTTTGTTTAATCATAAAACGATATCTTCGCACAAAGTATGAGAAACATTCTTTACTGATTTGTTTCTTCCTCGTCCGAGTGTTTCTGAGTTCTGCTTTAGATCATTTATAATTTGGATTTTTCATCTCTAAATACAGAAATCCCATAAATTATTTACTTCTGAATCTGGCCATATCTGATATCCTATTCGCATTGTTCATCGCACCAAAGATTATCGTCAGCTTCAACATGAGTCACCCGGACGGATTGGCAGGTGTGGTACTTTGCAAGCTTTTGACGGGTGGAAATATAGCCTGGGTTGCAGGAGTTTCGTCAGTTGTCACTTTGGTTGCAATTGCCTTTGAAAGATATTACTCAGTATTATATCCCATTGCCAGAGAAAAGAATCTTTCACGGCGCAAACTGAAGGCAAGTCTATGCATCAACCCTAAAAAACCAACGGACTCTTCAAAATGCCCAAAATCTTCCAATCCTATTCAAAATGCGCAATTTGTCCGACAAGGCGCAGTCATCCATCAATTTAGCCACCGGTCCATCTAACTGCCAATCACTTGCTAAAGAGCTTAGAAGAACTCTGAACTCACGATAGTCATTCTGCGCATAAAATTTCACAAAATTTAGTAACCTCTCTTTTAACTTTCTTTTTCAGATAATAGTTCTTGGCGCTTGGGTGTTCTCAGCATTTTTCAACATACCATTGTTCTTAGCTAGGACCTTCGACAAGGAGAAGACCAGCAAAAACTGTGTTCAGAATTGGCCTGAGAGGTGGATGTCCACGGCTTATTGTTTGGCGTGGTTGGTTTTGGTTGTCGTTTCCGTGGGAATTATGGTTGTCCTTTATTCTATTGTTGCGTGCACATTGTGGTTCAAACGCAATGGAAACAAAGGAATCAACTATCAGCAAAAAGTTAGTGTTTAAATAGGGGAAAATTAAACACAGGAAGACTTAGGGAAACAATTTTGCTGTCACTATGGCTAAAATTAGAAAGAATCCTATCTAAATGACAAGTGAACCTTTAGTTGAAAAAGTCTCCTCTCAAAGAATATCTTTAAGAAAGGTTTTTGGTAATTCAACGGGGTATATATCCTTGTAGTGAAGAAGTGTCGCTTTTCTCATAATGAATTTAACGACATACTTCACTACATTATCTTAGCTCATTGGGATCCTTTTCCTTCTCACAATTCACAGGGCGTCTTAAAGGTTCGGAAACGTGTTACCTTGATGGCTATAGCAGTCAGTTTCATCTTTGCAGTTTCCTGGGGAGCAGAATCAATTGAATACGTCTTGAGGACTCTTTCAACTCTCAACATCAGCTTTGAACATATTGCAGCTGTTGATATGATGGTGTTGTTCAATTCAGCAGTCAACCCATTCGTGTATGCCCTCTTGAACCATCAGTTCAGACAGAACATCAAGAAAGTGATTTGGTGCAATTATACACCGGAACCCAGGACTGGAGGAAAGGAAAACACAAGCCGAAGTACTGATCATGAACGCACTACTGAAATGTGATTCTTAAAACATTGCTTATTATATGGCAGATGAGTCCCACCATCGATATGTTAAAGGTCTTAAAAGTAAAATAAACTCACTTAAATATTAGAGAAGAAGAAGGGTGGAAAGAGAATTTCAACAACACGTTTACTTAAAAAGGGAGCTTAGTCAAGCAGTGAAATGAAGGGGACAAAAAACAATATCTGCTTGGCTACGTGTAGCCATACCCTTCCCCCCTAAGGTGAAGCGAAAGCGAGGCAACGTCTACGCAAACCTGACATTACTCATGTTCCGTGACGTCACTCTTTTTCAAGAAAATATATAATGACTTTTTATTGGTTAACCTCTTTTGCTTGGTAATTTATTTCCATACTAACGAACTGGTGAACAAAACGCTTTCATGGTCAAATTTTCAGACAACAGGTATCCATGACGAGGTTTTTAAGGCAAGTTTGCTCGACTTTTGGGATAGAAACATTTCAAGAAGAACAGCAGAAAGCCGTAGATATGTTTTTCGAAAGGTTACAATGTCTCCGTTTGACTGGCTTTGGAAAATCTTCAATATATCAAGCAGCGCCGGTAATCGATCGCCTTTCTTTTTTAGATGAAACCGGTTACTATATTTACTGTGCCGCCCGTTAAAGCTCTCACAGGAGACCAGGTGCACTATCTTAATGTACTTGGGCCAAGAGGCCCTTCAACTTTCGGTTTCTTTGCGAACAGCGCTGCAAAGCTATTAAATTGAAGTTAGTAGATTCTTGCAGCGATTCCTTCGATTGAGAGAAGGGTAGCTCTTTCTTTTGTTGCTTGCAGCGTAACTATTTCTTAAAGAAATTTGTAAAAACTTGAGATTCTGCTGCAATGATTAAAATTTTTTCGACGACCATGGCACTGTTTACAAATGTAAGCAGAAACAAAAATAATATTTTATTTCTTAAACTCAACGAAATTCTCTCCAAATGAACCCGAATGATTTAGGGCCGTAATTACGGCAAGATCTGCCATAACCTGAACAATTTTTTGAGTGAGTTAATGGTTGTTAAAATAGAGGTAATACAAATTAAAGAGAGAGGTTCATCGAAACATTTTCAGTTGCATAATATATGGTAGTGATTTAAAAGGTTTCCAACAAACTTTGAAACATTGTTTTTACAAGTATCTGTCAATTAGAGAGAGCGTAAGAAAAAAAAAAGGGCAAGTACACTTTTGAAAAAACAACGGAACTAGTTCGGCAAGGACTATCACAATAATGTTTTCTTCAAAAATAGTCAATGATCTTTCGGAAAGTATTATTCACTCTAGTAGACGATTAATTAATGTACGAAGATCTACCTTTGTTCAGTAAGTAAATGACAAGGAAAGTAATTGTAAGTAAAAACAAATTTTTTATTTTGAAGTTGTGAGAATTTGCTTGTTTGTTTACAGCAATGGCGTATGTAAATCTGGTCTTTCCTTCACTAAAACTAAATTCGAATGAGACACTTCAACTAGACACAAGGGAATTTAATGCGGCTTTTTCTTAATGAATTCCTTCAGTTTCTGTCGTGCAATTACTGGTGCAAATGTCCAAATTGAACGGGCCTGGAAAGACTGACCGAAAGTATCTTTATAGGAGAACTGAAAACTTCGCTCGCCCTTTTATTACGAATAAATTGTTTGAGAGAATACAGATATTAAATGAATGAAAGTTCCGTCTATTATTTCAATTGTAATCAAATACCTCACGTTTTAACTTTCAAGGTACTTTTTGTCTAGGATTAAAATTAATTACAGACGGTTTTTGGGCAGCTTGTCAACCAGTTGAATGACACTTTAGCGTATACAAATTCATTTCAAAACCAATAATTTTCTGTCAACCAAAGTGATTTGAGAGAGAGAGGGAAAAAAGAGGATTTGTAAGTCATTCATCGGCTTGAGGTACTAATTGACGTCTTTGCTTAAAAATACTGCCCAGCTGGAAAAACGAGATATGTTTATGAAAAATGGAAACGAAGGTAGGGATGTATTCGGCGAATCACGAAAGCGTTACCGTGCCAGTGGTAAAGTTAGTTGCTCCTTGCAGCGATTCTTTCAACTGAGAAAAGAGTCGCTCTTTCTTCACCCTTGCAGCGTAACCACCTCTTAAAAAAATCTGTAAAAACTTGAGATTCTGCTGCAAATGATCCAACATTTTTTGACGACCGTGACACTGGTTATAAATGCAAGAAGAAACCGCGTGGACGTTGAAATGAAGTTTCGTAAGCGCGATGGTAATCGAACATCGTCCTTTTCTAACCCTATCCAAAAACCGCTCACAGTCTTTTCCTATATCTTTAAAGCAGAGTATACATTTGAACTCGGACGCTAAATTGCAAATTTACCCGAAAAATGGAGAATGAATTCACTTCGATGTTGTTGTTTATCTCTATCACTTACAATATATAGAATTAGCCAAGCCTAAAAGCGGAGCTCGTGTTAATTTATTTTTAGCCCTTCATTATTCCGAATAACAACTGAAATAAAGCTCTTCAGCACTGGCTGTAGAAGAGTTTCTTCCAAGGGATCTAGAGACCAGTCCGGGGGGTGGGGAAGGGGGAACAATTGAGGAGGTCTGGAACCTGGTGACGATGTTCACACAACTTGAAGGCGATAAACACGCATACTAGTCAGCGTTATCTTCAAACAGCTCAGGAAGCTTGTTGTAGTTCCTGATGTTTTGAGCAAATTTTCGAAGATAGGGAATGTTTTCTTCTTCAGATGAAGTGTATGATGTCATTATCAGTTAAAGTTACATTCTTTTGAGCATAACTTATAATTTCGGTTTGGGAAATTGAGCCAAAAACGAAAGAAACGACGGTAAACTACTTTGCATTGAGACATTACTGGTCTATTGAGGAGTGAGAACAGTGAGTCAGTAAAACAATACGCCAGAATCGTATGGGCTTCTCTTACATCTTCTCTTGATGTTGCCAGGTATGACTGCCTGCCCAACCGATTTTCCCTAGCGTTTCGTTAATCTCTGCTGTAACTGCATACAATGTGGGTGTCTTTAAGAAAACTTGAGGTACTACCTGGATTTCATTTTTCCATCACAGAAGTCAATTCCAAACTTCAATCAAGTTTTCTCTTTAGTTTAAAAGTTGAGTTGATGTTGTTATTGGCTATATTAAATAGGTTGAAAAGTTTTAGATGGTATTTTGTCATGTTTGCCATTAATTGAATTTACTGGAAGGTAGAGTTGTTGCAACATGTTAACATGAAACACAACAATAAATGTTATTGGTATGTAAAAAGTTTTCATTTCACTATCTTCTGGCAAGTCTTTGTATTACATTTCAACCCAACCATTTTCCACAAGTTGTAAACACTATTACATTTATTAATAATTAATAATGGAAAATTTGTGGCATATACACCATGTTTGACATGCCATGTCCATAATAAGCTAACAGGATTGAGGAGGGTGTATATGGGAATAGGCTCTCTTGTCCACTCCTGTTGGCAATGTTTTGCTGAGGTTGGACTGTCAGGACAAAGGAACAGAGGATTTTAATGGACAGTGACTTTTTTCAAACCCAGAAACTAGATGAAGAGATATAATATTTTATTTCAAAAATTTGATGCATAGGCTGTGCACAAAACCTTACTATGACTATACTTTTATAGCCAATACCAATCCCTACACAAAAAAATATCAGTAGGATCAGGGGAAAAAAATAATGTGCCATACATCTGTAAGAGTTCAATCCATGTAATTATTTTAATTACATGAATATTAACTGATGCTAGGAAATCTAAGAATATTCAAAAGAAAAGAAAATTTGGTTGAAAAATTAGAATTTAGCATAGGCAGAATAATTAAGATTCCTAGAAAAAGAAATGTGTACTAATGAAAAAGCGAACCAAACATTTTTACAACACCTGCCTGTACCTGTACAACAGGTAGTAAAGTCATTCAAAGGAGTCAATCCCAGTTTTATATGTTGAAAAAACAGCCACATGCAGATTTCCTGTAAACCTCTGATGAATTCAAAATTTGATGCACACCTCAAAAGGATAACAAACAAATTTCAAGTATCTATTTATTCAGTTTAGGTTAGTGTGGTAAAATTGAGTCAAATATTCAAACAACGACAGGCTAAGAAACTAATTTATCAGGTTAGCCTACCCTGAACAATCACCTTCGTGTACAAATTAGACCAGGGCACAGTTGTATAAAGGGCCAATAACACTATCCAACCAATAAATTGCTATCCAGTGGATAAGTGATAGCAAAATGTATAGTGTTATCCATGGGATAGAGCTTTATCCAGTGGATAGTGCTAGCCAACCTTCAAACAACCAAGGCCAGGTTTGTAATGATAATGCACAAAAGAGCTATCTGTGGTAAGAGGGCATGCTCTCCTCTCTTCATTTAAAGAAAGACTGAGGTTATCATCTTTCCACAAGCTCAGTGGAAAGTGAGAGTGAATGAGACTGATATTGACTGTGTTATTTGAATAAATATACAGTGGAGGCTAAAAAGTAAGATATACTCCGCATAACTATCCTATTTTTATTTTTTAACCTATAAAGCTAAGGCATTTATATTCTTGCTTTCTGCACTATATGGATGCCAATTAATTTAACTTTCGTGTGTTAAAATACAAACAACATTCTCTTCATCTATGTGCCCTAAACATTATGGGGAAGGAGGCAGGTAAAAGTAAAAACATGAATTAAAAAAGGAGGGCCCCCCAATAATTTCAGTCCTAATTAAAGGAGGATCCTTGCCTTTCCAGATTGCAACCCTTCAAAACTCACATATCTTGTGATTAATTCTATATATCAATGTTTAGGTTGGGAATGAGCATTAATAAGAAACACCGTACATTAATGAAAGCTTGAGCAAGAGTATTTAATGCAATCTAAATAATAATGTTACATTTTACAATGTGGTAACTTACACAGAAAAATTATATAATCACACAATTCCAAACAAAGGAAGTCAGGTTATTGACTCACCTGCTTCAACTTTGAGGGCTTAAGGTACAGAGAAATAGATAATTGGTAAACAGTTACAATTAACACAAAGTTGAAAGTTTGAAAGCTTAGATATACATTACAATCAGCAGACCCTATGCATCCTAGCAAAGAAAGGGTCAATTACAACTATACCTTCTCCCAGATGTTCCTGCTTACAAGAAATCATTAATTCTTGTCACTAGGTGGTACTGTACTTACAATAGTTCTACCAACACAAATACATTTTTCTAAAGTTATCTCATAGCATATTATTGTACAGGTCATGTGGAAAGTTCCTACATGGGGACTGACATTTTAATTACCTCAGCAAACTTAAATCATCAGAATTGCAAGTCAAGGTGTATTTACCTAGTGCTCCAGTTTCCAAATTAGTCAGCTAATTGTTACAGGGGAGTTCACTCCTTTTTGAGGGTATCTTCAGCTCGCTCACCCTGTTACATGTGAAAAAATCAAATGTTACTCACATATTCATATAATTACCTGAATCAAAATTTATAAATTTTTGAGTAATCTGTTTCCTTTAATTGTGTTCCAGAAATAGTAAATGGTATTGAAGAGAGAAGAAGAAAGTTCTTGAAACATTCTGTTACATGAAACTTTGTTACGAATATTCATTGCAATGGCAACCAAAGCATCTGTGAAGCTATCATAACAATTACCTTTCCATGTAAACAAACCATAATGAAGCATGATATGAATAAATTTAATCTCACCCAGTTTGAATGTAGAATCCAAAATCTAATTAGCTTACTAGTGAATAGGAAATAGCTCAATGTGTTTTTACTGCTTCTGTCATTCTAAGTATTACAAATCAATCTCGCCACCACTTAACCTTTTAACCCCTAAGAGTAACTAGCATCTAATATCTTCCTACAATATGACCTCTGAATCATACATTAAGGTCAATAAAGGAAATGATCACCAACTAAAGAAGCTCTTGACTGTTAAACAAATTCTCCTTGTTAGCACCATGGGAGATGTATGGAGAACAGTATGGAGGATATGCATAATGATGTTAGGGTGTAAAAGATTAACTGTGAATTTTCTGATGATGTGTACTTTTTCTTATGGACATCTTA